TAGAGAGAATAAACAAAATAATAATAAATGATAATAAAATAATAATAAGTAAAATGAATAATAAAAGATAAAGAAAAACAAATCATTTGCTAATTTATATTTGTAGAATATATGAAATCAATATATTTATTTTAGGAGCTATAAATATAAACACAAAATCCAGAGCAGGCTCAGAATCAATAATATTAATATTATAATTTATAATAATTATAATAATATTACTATTAATAACAACAATAATAATAATATTAATAATAATAATAAAAATGATAATAATAATAAAAATTGAAATATTAAACAAAAAGGACAATAATCATAAATAAAAAATAATAAACAATCAAATAATAATAAATTAAATAACTAAGGAAATAGAAAAAAATTGCTAATTTATATTTGTAGAGAATATATTTATTTTAAGAGCTATAAATATGAACGCAATATCCAGAGCAGGCTTAGATTCAGCTTGGTGTGTCATAAAAACAAACAAAGAAACAAACAAATAAACAAATAATTAAATAAATAAATAATAATGATAATGATAACATAATAAATAATAACAATTATTGTAAATAAAAAGAACAATAAAAGATAGAGAGAAACAAAGTATTTGCGGATTTATAAAGTGTAAATGATCGATTTATTTATTTATTTTTTTATTTTTTTTCAAATACTGACTGATCATTTTAAATGTTCATCATAATTTTTACAGAAAAGCGTACTAAAAAGAACATAAATAAACCTACAGTAGTACCATATTGTAATTTTTATCTTAACTTGTGCTTATTAAAATGCTTGACAGTTGAATGTAAATTGATCTAATTCATGTTCAGTAAAACTAATTTAGTGTATTATATTATAGGCTACTGTGTTTTTTGTTAAAAAACATTATCGTTATTGTCCAAGAAAATCCTATAAGTGCATCCCTATTGATGTAGGACACTGTATACTCTTATCACTATCGGAAGAACATACTGTACTGTAGGAGAAAAATGATAATCACTCCTGATTGTCCATGTACTTCTGTGGCACTTCTTTCTATTGTGCATCTCCTTTTCTGTCATTTACTAACACTTTGTGCTCTGTGTGTACTGAGAGGAAACTCACTGAGTTGTTGATCATCTCTGGAGGCAGTAATATGACTGCTGCACTTCTGAAGGCAATCAAGCAACAGATGAGGCGTGTTCAAACTCATTGGCCTATTAATTTACTTCTTCTCAGGTGTACCAATAAAGGGTTTGCATGAAGTGTTTACAAACCTAGAGCCGGAATCAGCACTCAGTATGTGCAAATGCACTTATAATAGGTGTTGTTTTGCTCAAAATATCTGTGAAAATTACATTTTTAAAGCAAAACTTGAATTTTTGGTTTACACCAGTGCAAAAAATAAATAAAAGAAGAGTGACTATTTAAGATTAGCAAACTAAAATAAATATGTACTATGTTAGTAATCATTATTAAAATAACACTAAATTGTATTGAATATTAAAATGATTGTAAGAAACTATTTAGGAATATTACTGTTCATACTTTTTAAATAAAATTAAACGAAATTTAATTTTATTTCATTTCATTGATTCATTTTATTTTTATTTATTTTTTTTTCATTTCATTAAAAAAAATCACAAACTGGGGGTTTGTTTCCCACAATTTCTACAATTTTATTTAATAAAGTAAAACTGATTTATATGAAATATTACAATGATTGTATCAAGGGATTATATATAAATACTATTTTGTTTTTAATACATTTTTAATTGATTATTAAAATTAATTTTAATTTATTAAAACAATCTTAAATTGGAGCTTTGTATCCCACATTTTCCACATTGTGTTTTAAATGTAAATAATTAAACATAAATAATTAAATTAAAATTAAAAATCACAAAATGGTGGTTTGTTTAATATGTTTTCAATTCATTATTTGCAAGGTTTAAAATCAAATTGTACAATACAATATATTTTTTTCGAGGGTTAAAAATGTGGGAATGTTTAGTCAGAGTTAAGAAATAAAATCCTCAATGATAAAAAACTTAAAAATGTAAATGAAGTTAAAAAAAATTAATTAAAACTGTTCTGTAAACTTGCATGTTCTCCCCATGTTTATGTGGGTGCTTCAAGTTAAATCGTCCGTAGTGTATGAGAGTGTACGGATGCTTTCCAGCGATGGGTTGCAGGTGGAAGGGCATCGGCTGCATGGAACATGTGCTGGATGAATTGGTGGTTCATTCCGCTGTGGTGACCCCAGATTAACAAAGGGACTCAGCCGAAAAGAAAATTAATGAATGATTAAATAATTTAATTTAAGTTTATTTATTTTATTTTATTTTATTTTATTTTATTTTATTTTATTTTATTTTATTTTATTTTATTTTATTTTAATTTTATTTTATTTTATTTTATTTAAAAATCATGTTTCATATTTTTAATAGAGAATTTGCGATGTATATAAATCAAATTGTACAAAACAAAATAATTATTTGTAGTCTTAGAAATGTGGAAATGTTAAGTCACAATTAAGATATATAATATTCCAAAAACAGCTTTTCTTGTTTAATGTGACGAGGAACTTGAGAATGTAAAAAAGTATTTATACACAGTTAAAGTCAGAATTATTTGCCCCCCTAAATTATTAACCCCCTTGTTTATTTTTTCCACAATTTCTGTTTACCGGAGGCAAGAAGAACATCATTTGGGAAATACTTAAAAAATCAAAGAAAAAAGTTCAGAGGGGGGCTAATAATTCTAACTTCAAGTATATTATTAAGTCTGAAACTCCTCCTCGACTTAAGCTCTGTCTCTAAATTTAATATTTACAACCTTGTTGTATCTAATCACTTATTCCAAAACACACACCACTCTGCAAACTAAATGCCATAATTAATTAGAATGATCATTTTAATTAGGTCAGCTTTTTTGGCATAATATCCATCTTCACCCAGCAGAATGTGGCCCATGTGCTTAAACTCCCTCAGTGTTGTGTGTGTTCACTTGAATGTGTTCACTTGCGTGCTCTTCTCCCTCTGCAGATGGTCCTATATGTTTACTACTGCATTTCCACTAGAGCAAATCAGAGAGCTATTCCTGAGGGTCACTCATGGCTCCTTCTGTTAGCGCTTCTCTCAGGAGAGACGCGAGATGAAGAAACCATATTTATTGCAGACAAACAAGCCCCTTCTCGCTTACTGTTACGTTGCTCTTTCCCCATGCACTCATTCGCTTTGATTTATGCCACGCTTTGTCAGATGGCCTCGTACTGAGTGTAGAATTATGCATGTTTGTGTAGAATGAGGTGACAAGTTGAATTTGCCTTCATCCAGCAGTTAATGCGGAAAAAGAAATGTGTGAATATTAATAAGAGAAAAACAGCATTGTATGTGGATGCACTTTTTAACGGCTCTTCTGTTCTCCGGTATAGAATAGAGGTATTTTAAAGCAAAACGGTTTCAATTCAATTCACCTTTAATTGTATAGCACTTTTTTTTTAATGTAGATTGTGTCAAAGCAGCTTCACATAAAAGATCATAGTAAATTGGAACAGTGTAGTTCAGTTTTGGTGTTTAAGTTCAGTTCAGTTTAGCTCAGTTCAGTGTGGTTTATTAATCACTACTGAGAGTCCATACACTGAAGGAATGAAGGAATAAATCCATTGATGCATACTGTAGCTGTACCGATCCCAAAACCATGCAAGCTACTGGCGACAGCGGCTAGAAAAAAAAAAAAAAAAACTTCACCAATGGCGAAAGTGAAGAAAAAAAAAACTTGAGAGAAACCACCACGGGCACAACCATTTTAATTTCTCCACTGGTCAAATGTCGTGTGCAGAGCTGCAGTCTCAGCGGCGGAGGGTGGAAGCTGGAACTCAGCGAAGACTCGTCTGTCCTGGGAGCGTCACATCAGTCTCATGCTCTTCACTCCCCTATGACCACCACAGCAGCTGCTCAGGATACGGCCTGGTCAAGGATATGGAAACCTTGGGATCATCTCGTCGCTGGTCTTGGATCGAATCAGTGACTCTGCACAGGCTGAGGACCTCGGGATGAGTATCCCCAGGTGGAAATAGAGAATAAAGAGAATAATTAGCGTAGCTGCTGTTCATAGTGTGTATATACAAGATGCAGAAACCTGTGTGGAGCACATTCATGTATCATGCCGCTAAGTGATGTACTGAGTGTATGCTTTACTAAACAGATAGATATTTAATCTAGTTTTGAATTGGGAGAGTGTGTCTGAGTCTCGGAACAGAGTTTAGGAGCCATAAGTGAGAAGGCTTGACCTCCTTTACTCGATTTTGCTATTCTAGGTACTACCAGAAGCCCTGAGTTTTGAGATCTTAAAGAGCGAGTTGGATTGTAGCGAGACAGAAGGTTGGTTAGATAAACAGGAGCTAGATTATTTAAAGCTTTTTAGGTAAGAAGCAGTATTTTAAATTTAATACGAAACTTAACAGGCAGCCAGTGTAAGGAGAATAAAATTGGGGTGATATGATCATAATGCAAGAAGGAATCTGATAATGACAAATGTCTGATTTTACCTGTAAAAAATGGTCTGATAATGTTGTCAATGACAAAAAACAAGCACATGTCTTAAACATAATAACTTAATTATAACATAATTAAGAATAGTTGTATTCTGATAATCACATTCATTCATTCATTTTCTTGTCGGCTTAGTCCCTTTATTAATCCGGGGTTGCCACAGCAGAATGAACCGCCAACTTATCCAGCGAGTTTTTACGCAGCGGATGCCCTTCCAGCTGCAACCCATCTCTGGGAAACATATACACACACACATTACGGACAATTTTATCCTACCCAATTCACCTGTACCACATGTCTTTGGACTGTGGGGGAAACCGGAGCACCCGGAGGACGCACGCGAACGCAGGGAGAACATGCAAACTCCACACAGAAACGCCAACTGAGCAGAGAATCGAACCAGCGACCCAACAACCTTCTTGCTGTGAGGCGAACATGCTACCCTCTGCGCCACTGCGTCGCCTTCTCATAATCACTTTTCTGAGAATTACAAAACAGGACATATTTAAAGTCTGTTCAAGTCCACTGTTTCATGTCTATACAAAATGTAGCATTTTAACCATCATTAGACCAACACATAGGGCTAATATTCTTAGTGTTGTTTAACCATATGTTTGAGAATTAACAATAATAATAACCTATTCATAATAATCTTTATTTTACATCTACAGAATCGTGATCTTTATTTTAAGCAAAAAAATTGTGATTCTTATTTTAGCCAGAATCGTTCAGCTCTACTGACTGAGATATGATTTTAAGTGGTTAACAGACCAAACACTGCATTAAATTATATTGTGTTGGGTTGTCATTTATTCAGATAAAAAAGTTAGTTAATATCGTCAGCAGATTTGCTGTAAATGCTGCTCTTCAAATCACTGTTTATCTCCCCTGCATCTGTGTTTGTGTTGCCACTGTGAAAATAAGCTGTTGTGCATGTACTGAAACTCCCCTTTTCATGCAAACCCTTCCCTCCTTCGCCGCTCGATACTCCCACCTGACTTTTTTTCAAACTAGAGGTGTGAAAACACCCTGTTGAGGCACTGTTAACGTGTTTCTTAAAAAAACATAGTATTTTTATTCTCTAGAAGAGTTAAAAGGTTACATAACAGCGGTTGATTTAGAATTGAGAGGTGTTGTATTTGGAATTTTTTCATATGTATATGATGCATCTCAATTAAAAATTAATAAATAAAAAAGTGCACGTTTTCAAGATTATGGGGTTTAATCCATAAATGTAAAAGTAAATAAATGAGCAAAACACATTTAACGATTCCTGGGTTTGGCTGAAAACTTTGTCATGTAATTGGCCCCTAAGAAGAAAGCTAATGCCAATTTAAAATAGAATTTTATGGTTGTAGCATTTGTTATTTTTATTTGTTATGCAATGATATTTGTATATTCATGATCTAATCTTGATATAAGTTCAATCTCAGGTTTTTATGAGAAATGTACAGTTTATTTCACAGATAAAAAGGAGTGCTTGCTGTCTTAAAATACTGAAAAACAACACCTCAATACCCTTGAAAAATCTCAACAAAACAATACATTATTAAACATGACAACAAAATCAGCAACTATGTAAATAAACCTGGCAAGCAAAAGACATATTAATTATTCATGCCTTGGCCTATAGTGGATGCTGAGAAGAGTGCGAATAGGGCAGAATAAGGTGAAAAAAGTTCTGTATATATAAAGTACAATATATACAGTAGTCCACATTTGAAGTGGATCAAAGTCTTTTATCAAAGTTGTCCTTAAACCAATGTGTATTAAACTTTAAATAATTTTTTTTGATCCTCTTCAAATGTTGCCTACTGTATATAGTAGAGTTATACGATAGCTGCATTGAGAGTATCCATGTTTATAAAAGTTAGTTGGATAATTTACTTAAAAAGAAATCGTGATAATCACTTTCATGTTGCTTAAAACTTGACTATCCCTTTAAGACCCAACTATCTTTAATACACAAAAATTGTCCTATTATTAAATTCAAGTATTTTTGTATAGCGCATTTCACAATAATTATTATTCAAAACAACTAATTAATTAATTAATTAAATAAATAAATTATTTTTAGATGCACTGTTTTAAAATGTTTTAAAGAGCCTATATTATGGGTTTTTGAAAATTCCCCTCCATGTAGTGTGTAACAGCTCTAAGTGAAGTGAAGTATCCAGCTAAGGCTTAAATCTGTAAGAATACAGTGTTTAAAACTGTTGATTCATCTATAAAAGAGTCGTCTCATAGTGCTTCAAACGAGTCGCCTTGATACCGATTCATTAGGTGTTTCGCCATGACATACGAACGAAACCAAGTTATTCACGTGCACGCGCAAACCCGGGAGATTTCAAACCTGAGGCCCCGCCCTCTGACACAGAAACCCAGACACACACACACACACCCACAAACACACGCACACACACACACACACACACAAACATGCCGGTCGATTGAAGTCACAATGCAGATGGATATTATATTGAGTCTCTACCCAAAGATGAAACCTCAGCAATATAGCCAAGCAGTTGGAAACTACTGGAAACTTCTGGAAACTACATGCTACAAAGAATACTTCATCAGCGTTTGTTAAAGGAAGGATCAGTAAAGAGCAACTTACTGCTGGACGTCAGGATGGATTTTTCTTCCTCCATTTCTCAAGTGTAAGTACGTGCGATTAAAGTTGCCTCGTTTACTCTAGCTTGCAAATGTATTTAGTTGTGATTTGTTACTTGTAACCGCGTGTACTGTATCAGGTTAACTGGCTATATTCTCTTATCGCGTGCAAAGTCACGTTAAAAACGCGACGCGTGCTGCTTTGTTAACGGAGCTCCGTGGACGATGAGAAGTGTGTGTGTCTGTGTTTGCGTGTGCGCGCGCTGTCGTCCGGAGCAGGGTTAAGTGCGTGTGTGTGTGTGTGTGCAATATGTGTGTGTGTGTCTGTGAAAAGAGCAGAGTGAGAAGCTAGGAGATCTCCTCAACTGTTTTTAGAGTTTTTGCTCAATAAAATAGTTAGTCGTCTGAATTTTCAAGTCTATAGTCTGTATTTACATTGACCCACTGGCAGCTAAAATCCACGCCTACACTATCGAGCGTGTATGAACTGTGATTACTTTTATATTGCTGATTAGCTGTTTGGCTTTTCACTCTCTGACTGAAGGCAGTCGACCAATCGCGACAGGCTGTCATTGGTCCAATCAGCGCAGATTAGCTTCGCGCTAAGGAGGGGTTTGGGAACAAATGAATCACTGGACGATTCATACGGGAGTCGCTGGGATAATTAGGTAAAAATAAATGCAGATTATAAGACCATGAAAGTGTTTTTTTGACCTTGCATGTATATTAAACTGTTGTTGGAGACCCTTACAACCAAGATATGACCCTATTACATGTATAATATGGGCTCTTTAAACTTGTAAAACTCATTTATGAGCTGAAGATGATCACAGAGAGTTGGAACAGAAAATTTAATCCCAGTTTCTTTGCAAATCCTGTTCTGTGGACATGTTTATGCATGTTACTTTAGAGACATGTTAATACGCGCATGTCAATCAATTCGGTGGTTGGGAAAAACAGCATTCTTATGTCATGTTGTGGTGGGCCTGAAAATCACAGGGATTTTGATTCTATTTTAGAAGCAGAGAATGAAAAAAAGAGACGTGCATTTATATCACTCCAATATGAAAATAAACCTACACACAGTTCGGTCCAAAGAGCTTCCAAAAGTTGATTTTGCAAAATAGGTGCCCTTTAAAGTCAGTTTAAACTCCTGCAACAGAGCTGTTGAATTGCAAACACATGAAGTTGTTTTGCATTATTTACTTGGTCTGAACATCAGGTTGACAACATGTGATTACGGAAAATTGTAATTCTTGCTTGTGCAACAGTCTGTTCATTTGGTGACCTGGTAACTTGTCATTTAGTGGCAAAGTGAATTACCGCACATGACTTCCCAGACAGGATTGGGTTGCGTCTAGATAATCCATCCTATTACAAATGCACCCTGGCATCTAGTCTGAGGGGACATCCAGTGTGCCTGGCAGAGTTTTTGCAGTGCAGGGCAGGATCTGTCCGTGCCAGTCATTGTGTCCCATATGCTGGGAACACATGCAGACGTTTCCAGTTCAGCATCTGCTGACGGCGGATATGACAGAGTCTGGAGATAGTACTGAGTCATTAGAAATGGAGAAATAAGTGGATGACGTGGTAGTGAGGCAGCAAGACATTTTAGTTCTGTTCATCTTTATACTGATATAAATCCTTGAGTTAAAAAAGTAATGATGGATGGATGGATGGATTGACGGATGGATGGATTGACGGACGGACGGACGGACGGACGGACGGACGGACGGACGGACGGACGGACAGACAGACAGACAGACAGACAGACAGAGAGACAGACAGACAGACAGACAGACAGACAGACAGACAGACAGACAGACAGATAGATAGATAGATAGATAGATAGATAGATAGATAGATAGATAGATAGATTGTCTTTTGCCTAATTTTGTTTTGAGTCTAGATTATTTGTTTTGTCTTGTTTTGTTTTAAAACTATATTGTTTGTTTTGTTTTGTTTTGTTTTGAGTCTAGATTATTTGTTTTGTCTTGTTTTGTTTTGTTTTGTTTTGAGTCTAGATTATTTGTTTTGTCTTGTTTTGTGTCTAGATTATTTGTTTTGTCTTGTTTTGTTTTGAGACTAGATTGTTTGTTTTGTCTTGTTTTGTTTTGTTTTGAGTCTAGATTATTTGTTTTGTCTTGTTTTGTAATAAGTTCAAGAATCAGATGCTGCTTGCACTGAATGTTTTTGATTCACTAAAAGGTACTGAGTAATTAATTCAATAATCTGTTTCTAGCATGTTTTTGACACTGAATGTTTGCTGAATGTTGTTGATCAACTAAAAAAACTCATTAGAATTAGAATAATTTGTTTATGACACATGTTTTTCAAGTTATTTTGCAAGATACTAGGATTTAGCTTAAACTGCAATTTAAAGGTTATTAGGTTAACTTATCCATCCATCCACCCTAAAGGGTATTTTTATATTCATCCATTCATTTATTGAACACATCTATTCATCCATTCTAAAGAGTATTTTTATATCAATTCATCCATTCGTTCATTAATCACATCCATCCACCCATGCATCCATTCATCCATCCATGGATCATTGAACACATCCATTCATTCATCCATTCTAAAGAGTATGTTTATATTCATCCATCCTTCCATTCATCCATTTGTTCGTTGAACACATCCATACATCCATCCATACATTTACTTATACTAAAAGGATATTTTTCCATCCATCCGTCCGTCTGTCCATCCATCCATCCATCCATCCATCCATCCATCCATCCATCCATCCATCCATTCATCCATCGGCTAAAAAAAAAAATTAATTCCAGCCAAACTAAAAAAAAGATAAAAGACTTCCTTTAGAATAAAAATATCCTTTAGAAAAAGAAATATTATAAGAA